GAAAATTCCAACCTTTTCATTTGGTAGCTGAACCCTGGTCTCGAGCAGAGCAGCGGCCCTCTCTTTGCGAGCGACGCTTGCGAACGTTTGCAGAAATGCGCCGCAGAAGACGTCCCACGTTCGGAGCGTGGACTCCCGATTCTCTAGCCAGGTCCTTGCGGTGTCTTCCAGGTAGAAGTACACACGACGGAGCTTTTCTTCGTTGTCCCAGTGGTTGAGGGCGGCCACACGGTCGTATGTTTCTAGCCAGGTTTCCGGGTCTTCAAACGATGAGCCATGGAACGTTGGTGGTTCCCTGGGTTGATGAATGACGATCGCGGGCTGGGACGCTCCGGTTGTCATTGTCGCTGCAGTCGAGGTCATGGTCTTGGTCTTCCGCGCCTTGTCTTGTGGAAGGCCGTACTCCGGTGGGAGACCTTGCTGTCGGCGGCTCGTTCGCTGCTCTTGGTTGGCGTCGTAGTCTTCTCCGCGACGGGGGCTGGGTTCACGGCTTGACGGGGGCGTCCGGTACATGAACGAAGCAGCACCTCCACCAGATGTCACGGGGTCGTGACGTGGCCAAAGACAAGAAACTTCGTGTTGGGATTTAACTGTTTATTAGGGCGAACCTGTGCCCGGTAAAGAGAAAGTCTAATTACAGCAGCAGTCTTGCACAGATAGCAGTCTCGGACTGATAGCGGCGAACGCAGCGTCGGCCTTCCATCAACAACTTGCAAGCGGCGAAGCACGTCGGCATTTATACCCTTGCCGTCGAATGTTCTAGCGTTATCGCTGGCGGTGGCGTAGGTTCCAGAACAATCTATACCGTTCGCACAGTGGGCGTGATCTTATCGAAGTGATCTACTACAGTCCGGAACCTTCTCGAAACCTGCAGGCGTGGTTTGCAGGTGTTTCGGAACGATAACAAACACTTGTGAAATGAAACGTGGCAATATGATAGCGTAATGTTTACGGCACACTGCATTCGTTTTGGCCAAGCCGTTCTGTAGTTGTTGATTTAGCGAAAGAGCTACAGCATTGTGCTGGCGCGACTGCCCTCTACATTGCGCTAAAAGCATCCCAATACTCAATCAAATAAATTAGGCGGGCGTATCTATAGAATGAGCCTAGAAGCGTCATAAAGCGTGAGCAGATGTCGCCCTTTAGAACGAGCGCGAAACGGATATTAAACTTGGCAGACCCCACCGTCAAACTGTCGCTGCTCCCCAGTCCACTTGGTTTTTTTTCTCTTGAAGTTGTGAATTGCAAAAAATAGCACTAGTGTCATTAACATAGTGGCAATCGTTGCTTGTGTTTGCACAAGCAACGAATTACCAGTGTAGTTTTGCAACTGTTGCACAAGCAATCGTTGCAATCGTTGCTTGTGCAACAGTTGCTTGTGTTTAATAAATGTGCAATATTTAGTAGCAGGTGTAGATCTTGTCTATGTTGTGTACACGACAAACATAACTAAGTTGAACCTTAAGTTTGTATGGCAACTAAGTATTTAACACGCAATCAACGTCATGTTGGTGTGGCGCAGTCACTCCGCGTTCAGCTTCGGAGGGAGACGTACGTGTGATGGCTCGCTCCGTGCGAGCTGCTTCGGTGGCCGCTGCTGCCCGCGGTGTTAGGTTCCCTTCTGCTCCATCGGATTACCGGTTTTTGTTGCCTACATTGCCGTCGGGTGACAGTATGGAAGAGTGTGTGTTTCTGCACGGGGATTTGGAAAGAAGACCATAGCGGTTGGAAGACTTTCGGGCCCCGTTGAAAGAAGTGGGACTCCTCAAGGCGATCACTGGCATTGGAGCCTTCCAGATGAATCATGTCTGGCTGGTGAAGATGCGAAGCAAGGATGACAAATATGCATTACGCTAACACGCTAACAAACGTTGATTATAAGGTGTTTATGAAAGTTCTGGCTAGGAGGTTGCAAGGAGTTATATACAAGTTGGTCGGGTCACATCAGACTTGCGGCATCAAGCGTAGGAGCATATTCACGAATATTCATGTTTCCAGGAGCATTTTGGAGTATTGTGACGCTGCGCATCTAAAAGTAGCTATGTTGCAAATTGATCTAGCCAAGGCTTTTGACATGGTTCTACACAATATACTCTTCATGCTAGCTGAGTACGTTGGTCTTGGTGCGATCATATGTAAAGGTATTAAATTGACATACAAAAATTCAACCACAAATTTAATTGTAAATAGAGAACTCTCACAGCGCATACAAGTACTTTCATCCGTGTGCCAGGGGTGCCCTTTAAGTCCTTTGCTCTTCGCTCTATTTTTGGAACCATTGTGTCAGAAAGTGATTCATCATGCAGGAATTAATGGTTTCAGGTTGCAGTCATGTGAAGTGTGTGTTTTGGCATACGCCGACGATATTGCCTTTTTGCAGTTGATAGAGAGAGTGTCACATCGTTATTAAATATCACTCAAAGCTTTGTGACACGAGTGGAAGTTTAAGGAACAAAGAAAAAAAGCATTGGTTTATGGCATGGTAATTGGGACCTTACGCCCAGTTTCTTTGGAAATATTCAGTGGCTCACGACGCCTAGTCGTTACCTAGGGGTACCATTGGACAGGTATCAAGACAGTGAAGCATTTTGGCTTGAAAAGGCTGAAGAACTGCGCGCGACTGCCGAAGGATGGGGCGGTCGTGGCTTATCAATTTTCTTTCGGTCAACTGTGTGCAACGTGTTTCTGGCTGCTAAAATTATGTACCTTTTGAAAGTACTTAGTTGTAAGCGTAAAACCATTCACAAAGTCCACAGGACATTCGCCACGTTCATCTGAAGCTCTACGTGGGAGAGAACATCTAGAACGAAACTTGTTTCGGCGAGTTAAGCAAGGAGGGCTGTCTCTGTGCCATCTGATTTCTTAACCAAGTAATATCACGTTTCCTGCTCATTAGAGACCAGAGAGACTCTTTTTTACGTTCTTTATTTCAAACAACGCTGTTACACCACATGCCTGACTTCTTTGTATCTTCAGACAGGCGAGAACGACACACCTTGTCACCGTTCTTGCGCGAAGTTGTGTTCTCATATCGTTTCTTAAGGGCAAGGTTTTCGATAGATTACCTAACTAATGTGAAAAGAAAGCTCCTTATAAAAGACCTAATACAGAATGTTTTTCCTGTGCCCCTGTACCGTTCAAGGTATGAAAAATCATATGGTCATGACGTACTAAAGCGAGTGAAAAACATGTGTATACCACCCAATGTGAAAAGCTTCTTTTTTAAACTTCATACGGGAACCTTGCCAGTAAAAACGGGGCTTGAAGAGAGAGGGATGTATGTACCATGGGAAAGCAGCTGTCTCCTGTGTAACAAACCTGAGATCATTGAACATGTGTTTATTGATTGTAATAACGCTATTTTCTTTTGGGACATTTTACAGAGGACTTTAAAAAAGATTTACCTCTTACTTCATATGGAATTCGTTTTTTGCCTTGTGATAGTTCTGTGCAAAATTTCGATGTTATATTTGTACTTGGTCTTCATTCGGTTTGGCGTAGTATGCTATCGTACAGACACTGTGATGTGAGCGTTCTATCCGTTAATGAGTGTTTCGTGGAAGCTGTTATAAAAGTGCGAGATGTGTATAAGACTACCAACTGTGTTGAAGATGTAATATCTTTGACGCGTTATCACGCATGAAACACGTGTGATAGTGATTGTCATATTAGCTTGACTTGTAGTCAAGAAGGCAATAAAGAAAAAAGAATTGGTGTGGCACAGTGGTTAGCGTCTTCGAATGGGAATCCGCAGGTTGCACGTTCGATCCTCCGTGGCACTTTGTTTTTTTTGTTACGGGACGGGTGCTTTTATACCGTTTTTATAGAATTCTTTTTTATTTTTTGTGGCAGCTCGTCACGGTGATTCTGACGTCATTTCGCGCTCAAGTTTTGCCGGCACTGCAGGACCCACCATACCCACCATGCGCCATGGTGGGCGTTTCCCACTACATTAATCCACTATAATGGGTGGTGGTGGTTTCCAATATGCCCAACATTCGTTTTTTTCCGATAGGGTGTGGCAGTGATAATCACTGGAGCCTGCCACGTTCCTAAACTTTCACGTAAGAACCAGTGACTTGCCGCGTTTCTCGACTTCCCCTTCTGTTCGACGTCGCGCAGTCAACTATTCACAAGAACACCTGTTTATATTTTGAAGTTATTGTATTACTGTCAATTCAAGCGCAATCGATCATGTTCTCCACATTTCGTATGGTTCCTAAACCTCATAGCATTTCTTAGTACAACAGCCCAATGCGTTGTTATTGCTTTCATTGCCTCGCTCGGCCTTGTGCCAAAGCTGTAAATTTTAGATTTCCCCTTACTTGCTTACCCCAAAGAAGGGGTGGGGTGTCAGTCAATTAGAACGAATATCATAGCTACTCTCTATCATCACAATATAATACATCATCATTGCTACATGTCATAATTACTTTCCGTTTAGATAAGATACATTTACATTTGAATGAACGTATTCGTGACCGTGATTTTAGCTTATGAACCCTCTATTTCTCGATTTGACATTGCGAAAGTTTACGTGGCTGGGCGGAATGATCTCATTGAAATGACTAAGATACTAATCAATATTATTATCCTTCCCTGTCGACACATGCATACTTTTGTTTTATTTATGTAAGTTTCTAAAACAAGGTGTTCATTTGGTGTATTATATATCACTAATTAAAGGAATCAAGCTTTATACATTTGAGTGTGCATCGCAATTTTATGTCAAATTGGTAGTTTATTATGCTATTACCTCTATTTGAAATTCTATAAAAGTTTAAAAGCACTCTCAATTCCTGACGAATTCCCCCCAGTAAGAAGAGACGCAAGATTAGATAGCATGAACCACAACGAAAACAGGAACCATTGGCTCATTCACCATTCCCTCATAGTGGGTCAGAGCCAGCATTAAGAAGGGCGTAAGCCAGCAACAGATTTGCGCCAGGGGCCTTCAGACTGGTCAGCTCTTTCCTGCAGACATCGAGCTGTGTTTGACCTGCAACATCCTGTGCCAGTGCCTGCAGCAACATCAGCTGTTTGACTCCTTCAATAGGTAAATCGTACGACTGCGTGATTAGACTAGTTTCTCAAAAGCTGGTGAACCAGTAGTTCGTGAGGCCTAGCAACAAATCGTTAGTTCGAAGATAGACAAGAGATTTCCTGCTGATCGAATATCTACCTCAGAGCATTTGGTGGCGTAACGTGGCCGCGACCATGAGCCATGCTTACAGTCACCAGTCGTATGCTAGCTAAACCCTAGAGTGGTCAACAGTGCAATCACTGAATTGTCTGCGCTCCTTAGAGAGAAAAATATGTCTCTTGCAAGCAATCGTAAATGTTCTCGTGATGAAACATTATGAAATTTGTTCATACGAATATCGACGCCTATATATATTTTTTGCATTCCTATTTCGGATTGCACGGTCATTCTTCGGGCATTGTGTATTCCACCAATACGCATGTCCGCAGCAAAAGTTAGCCATCCACTGAATCTTACTATTGTTCTCCGTAAGGTGCAGTAACATATGGTAGCCTTTCTGCCCCTGCCCTAACAGTAACCTCTCACCAGGAAAACGGATGAGCCCAGGAATGCTGACTCATGGTTTTACCATCAGTGAATACTTGCAACTTTAATAATTGACGACGGCAGAGAGGCATAACTACTTCACTGATATTTTTTCATAGGTAGCGGGTAAGGACATGAAGGAGGGCTCGTGGATGCTTACTTTTTTCAAGGTATAGCACTCGCAGAGTCATAGGAAGCGTAAGATTTGTTGTTTTATTTGCTGGGCCATGTTTGATTCCCCTATTTAGCCCTGTTCATTCAGAGGCTTTTAACGGTTCAGACACTGCAATTATATTTTGAACGCCATTTTTGCTGATTCTGCGGTTCACGTCACTAAGATGAACGAGGTGTGTGATCATGATATCACTGAGACTCACGTGATGTAGCCAATTTGTAGTTGAAATCAATAACTTTATTTCCAAGTTGCTCTACACAGATTATTTTAGTCTCCAACGATTAGGATGATCCGCAATAATTGCTTTCCATTTCTCCTTGACATCACTGCGGTGCTAAACTTTATGCACGACTGTTTTGCATAGACGCTGCCCTTTCAGACTAAAATTCTGGTCAATAGCCAATAAAATTACCAGTGAAGTTTTGCATTTTTATACTGCCTTAGCGTGATTGAACACACATGTTGACGCTAATTGTGCAAGAATATAAAACGAACAACTTACCAATTTGCAGACTTTTACAAAATTACTTTTGAGTTAACTACATAGCAAAGGCAACTTTTTATGAAATGTAGCATGTCATTGAACAAGTAAATTTCTAAGAATGAATTCCTACTGCAATACTGAATGTAAAATATGCATTGTAAACACACGTGGTGTCTTGATGGTCGATTATTTTGCGGATATACAGAGCTACGGTTGATTAAGAAAGCTAAAGAACAAGTATTGGTAAACACTTTAAACACCTAAAGTCTTATTTTTACTGCAATTTTCCTTGCAGCAGTCGATTGTCCTATCATAAAACTCTATTCGAAGTTCGCAATGTTATCTATTTGCCAATCAGTTTAAGCGGCTTCGTTTGTGGATAACGATAATCAGCTTTTATAAGTTTTAGTTAAGCCCAGCAAGCATTATTTACAGTGGGCTATTTCGAGAGCAGTTTATTTCCACCTTCTGTCTTTCTCAAACACCAGGCACATCATTTTGGTGTTCCGTACCTACCACTGCGAACACAGCACATCACCCGGGACATCCGCTCTACACGATCCTGAACATGGGTAAGTAGCTCCCCTTTTGGTAGCGCAGCTCAACTTGTTATAGCATTTCCTATACAACCGCAAGTTATACAATATTGTTCAGAAGGTTGATTACGAGCCGGCTGTTAGCGTGAGGGAATAAAATGCGGCTGGAATGAAAATGTAACGAGAAAATGGCCAATGGTGTTTTCTAGCTGTATAAAGATCAGTGAAAATAAATATTTTATTCGAGTGGGTCTAAAATTGTGGGCCTGTTGGATCAAATCGCCATGTACGAAATACATTCTATGCACTTTTTTTGTGGTGAGGGCCCATGCCCATGCCATATAGACGGCATTCGGACATACGAAAATTTGTTACATCTACGAGCGAAAGCGTTCATACCATTCGCACAGTTGCTAGAGTTTTGGTAATGTCATTTGTGCCCCGCTACGGTGGTCTAGTGGCTGGGGTACTCAACTGCTCACCCGTAGGTCGTGGGATCGAATCCCGGTGGTGGCGGCTGCATATCTGATGGAGGACGGAAATGTTGTAGGTCCGTATGCTCAGATTTTGGCGCACGTTAAAGAATCCAAGGTGGTCAAAATTTCTGGAACCCTCCACTACGGCGTCTCTCATAATCAAATGGCAAATTTGGGACGGTGAACACCGCATATCAATCAAACAGTGTTATTTGTTCATGGCACAATTGTGTTCACAACGCCCAAATAGTGCTGACTGAATTCAGAGACGCTCAGTCACATTTTCACAGCGCTAACGACTCGCCGTCGATTTCACCACGTGCACACAAATTTGACCTCTGGGCACGCGCCAGCTCTGGCGGCTCAGTAATGCCGTTTATCGCCAACCGTCGTTAAAATCCGCGCTTTGGCTGTCGAGAGTAGCAACTTAGTCACGACGCATTGTTCTGATATTTAGTGCTCAATAAAATTGACTCGTTAAGGCGACATAGTGTATGAAAAAGGCATTACGTTGGTTAAGGAGGAGAAATGGATGTCCCACACAAATTGGGCAGATGTAACTACACAAATTGGACAGATGTAACGCACGCGACATGCTAGGCCACATGACTCGTAGCGCGGAAAAAACGCATAATTTCCTGTAATGAAATACTTTAAAGATGTATGCACCAAGTTTGAGAATGACTTTTTTGACTGACATCTACGTTTTAGTTTCAGGATGTGTAGTCAGCGAAAATTTCATATCACATTTCGGCACTGTGTCCTATGATTAACGCCTTGCTTGTCCTCTACTATCCAAACCTCTGATGGCTCCCCGATTTGGTCACTTTCAGCACAAAATTTATATGTTCATTTCAACCTTTATAGGCACCGTGAGATATCTGTGTTTTCTGATTATATTAAGGATTGTTCTCATCGTAAATGCATGTACTTTTTTTTCTGTTTCAGCAGAGACGCCATTCATGCCTGACGTTATGAAGCCTTCCGATAATGTCAATCTGGTATCGCGTAAGTGCTACCCTACCCATGCAGGACAATTTCGAAAATCAGGTCTGAAAGTAGTGTTTCTGAAACACTGTTTTGGCACAAGACATCCCTAGTGATGTGACAGCACGCACTCCTCCATTTCGCACCATTTTTGGTCTTTCCGTCTGCTTACCCGAGATCATGGCGATTGCTTAGCACTTCCGAATTCATTATAAATATTTGTGAATTGTGAGCTATACCTAGTCTCTTAGTATGTGACTGTCTTTCACCAGACTTCTTTCCCCATATCTGAAGTGTGTGCATGTGAGTGTGTGTTTTTTGCGTGTTGCTCACGACGGCAAAACTGCTGCAGTGATCATCATTGCGCTATACAAATTTCATGCTTTTTGTCTGCTTTCAGCTCATGATTACCAGGAATCGTAAGTTATGGAGTTGTAATGAGTGGGCCTTCAAAAGGACCAGCTCATAACTTAATTCACCCGTTCGACGCTAAAGCGATTATACGATTGTGCCATAGGCTCTCAACTGCACGTAATCCATAGTATGTAATCGTATAAGACTAGATTCCAAACCACTTTAGAGGCATTTTGGTTGGCTTTGTTTTGCTTATATTTACGACACTCATGCGTTTAGGCATAGTGACAATCAGGTGACAATGATACAGAGTTGCTGTGCCTATTAACTCAGCTATCAGCTTGAAACTGTAATAATCGTAGCTGTGATTTAGCTGTGCGGAAGGCATGCGTGGTGTATATTTTCTTCAACTTTTGGGAACAAGGTGACCTTGTGGGTGTTTCCGCCGTAGTAGTACGCTTTATTTTAACAGAATATTGGAAACTAAAACAAAGCACGGGCTAACCCTAGAGTCTAGTATTCCACTATATCTGACTTTCCTCGAAACCCGATTGCAGAAAGGCAATGAACAGGCGAAAATTTTTCACCTGTAGATAAGCGGTTCCTAGTAGATCAATAATGCAAAACTACTCATTAAACAGTTAGTTATGAGTCACGAAATAAACACCCACAGTGCTCCACCAATGATACGAGAAATTCGGATACCCTAGTTAGTTTCCATGCGTATGTATGAGTGTGCAGAAATATCTCCAGCTGTGTCAATATATCCTCGAATTAAGATGTATGCGTCAGCTCATGGCGTAGCAGATCGCCTAACCTAAGTCGATTCGTCCGGTGTTTGTCTATTTACTGTGGCACAGAAATTGTCCCTACAGTTAACATGACACACCACCTGCCGGATAAATAGTAGCCGAAATTGACCCCAATTGCTAATTAGCTGCTGCAACAAAATAGTGTAACTTCGTGAAAAGCAGTAACAGCCTGGCTGACCTGTATATGAGCTGCTGCATGGTTCTTGCTTTCAGCTATGAGATTCTTACAAATTCAGTTTTCAAGAGTGCATAGTGATGGGTTTTCTGAGTGAATGAACTTTCGGCATATCCCGTACTTATTGTGCTTATTTATGCGCGTCTTCGTGTAAGAGCATTATCCCACGTGAGGATTTTACAGCATCGCATTGTTCGTATCTTACCGCTAAACAGTTAAGAGAGGCCAATCACGTTCAAGAAGCAATAAAATCGCTCAGCCTAATTGCATAATTCAGAAGTGTAACTCTGTTGAACTCGCCACGGCGAACAGGTCATTACACTTGGTAACCTTATTAGTAAACCGTGAATGTAGAGGAATCACGTGAGGTTCATAGTGGTCATTCTTTTTGAGTGACACTAGTGTTTATAAAGCTTACTGAAGTTAACGAATTTCTTCATTGACATGACCAAGGTATCCGCACACGTGTCGCTTCAGTAAACAAAATCAATGGTATGTCGATGAGTGCAATGTTATGGCTCTACCTTATATTTACTTCCTCACAATCTGTGTAAAGAGAGTGGTAACATTAGAGCATCACAAGTTGCAATAGCTGCAAATAACCTAGCTAAATAGTGCTGATGCTGCGTTATTTGCAGGCGTTAGAGTTATTATACACTAGAGCAGTGAATCAGTTCTCAAATTTTATCACAATTTTTTTTTTTGAGATTTATTCATTTTTCTGTACGTGCAACAGAAAAAACGAAGCAAAAGCAAAAGGCTACATAGCCTGACGGAGGCTTTTGCTCCGAAATACAGTCTGGCAAAATAAAATAAAAACTAGAATTAACATGTCATACACAACTTAGCCGAATTAGAGAACATCATTATATACAGATACAATTTGCAAATTAAGATCACACATGTAACCATTACAAATATAAAGAAAGAACAGGACAGTAAATAGTAATGAAATACCTAAAAAAACATCGCAATATATACAATAGGTGAGGTAAGGAAAGCATCAGGAGACACATACATTCCTAAAAAACAACAACAAAAGGACACAAATAGTGTACTCTAAGCAATTGGGACACAGAAAGTAATAAATAATCCAAATTTCTGTATTAAGCGTATTCAATACAATTATAAAGAAGAAATTCCTTGAACTTATTTTTGGAAGTTTTCTTATTTAGGTCAAGTACGACACCCAGTTTGTTGAGGAGACTCGGTATTTGGTAATCAATATGTTGTTGACCATAGGTTGTTCTAGTTTTCGGTGTTCTTATACTATGTGTACGGAGATAGTACTCAGCACATCGAGAAGAATCGTACATGGGGTATAGTTTATTATTTTGGATATACAATAATAACTTATAATAATATATTTGGTTTGCTTGTAATATGAGATATTTAGGGAATAACGGACGTGCGCTAAGACCTTGTGGCATACCGTAATATCCCTCGAATAGTCTTAGTACCCTCTTTTGTAGTGTAAGTAATGTTTTATAGTTTTGAGCCGTCGTTGTTCCCCAACATAAGACACAATAACTTAGCCTGGAATATATCAGTGTATAATATAACGCTTTCTTTAGCCAAAGTGGTAATAACGGACATAGTTTGTACATACATCCAACGCTTCTACTTAGATCTGCTGCCAATTTATTTATATGTTCATTCCAGGAAAGGTCTTCCTGGAACCACACACCCAAGAATTTCTGTACCTTGACTTGTTCTAAAGTCTGACCCTCAAAGGAGATACTTAGACTTATATTCCGTGGCTTATTAATGGGTGCAAACAATATATATTTAGTTTTACTCGCGTTTAGCCGCAACTTATTTAGTTTAATCCAGGAAGACAACTTATTTAGATATGTGTTTACAGACTTTTCAAGTTGAGAGATCGATGAACCAGCAAAAAATATATTAGTGTCGTCCGCATACATGATTAACTTAGGAGAATCCGGAATGCTACACAAGTTATTTACATAGACTATAAACAACAGAGGACCAAGTATCGATCCTTGTGGGACACCTTTGTTGACCCTCGCACGGGGAGATGTCTCTTGAATAATAGCGACATACTGATAGCGGTCTGTTAGGTAATTTTGAATTAACCTATTGGCAACGCCACGGACACCGTAGTTATTAAGTTTTTCTAGAAGAACACTGTGATTCACGGTGTCGAATGCTTTGCGGAAGTCAACAAAAAGACCAAGAGTATATAGCTTTTTCTCAAAATTGGTGAGTATCTCGTTTTTAATATTGAGTAATGCAAGCTCGGTGGATTTACATTTTTGAAAGCCAAATTGGGCATCACTTATTACATTGTACTTCGCAAAAAATTTTTGTAATCTAATATTAATAGCGCTTTCAAAAACTTTTGACAGAATCGGAAGTACCGATATCGGTCGGTAGTTTCCAATCTCTTGGTCATTACCACCCTTGAAAACCGGACATACGCGAGCTATTTTTAATTCATCGGGAAATACGCCGGTAACAAGAGTTAAATTAATAATATGTGACAACGCAGGTGATATAACATCAGCGACGTATTTTATTGGTACAGCTTTAATATCGTCGTAACCTGCTGCACAATGGTTTTTATCTTTGTTATTAATTCTTCGGTTTCATGACATGAGATAGTGTGCAGAACTATAGAGTTAGATAAGCGACGGTCATTTACAGGCAGTTGTGTATCCTCGTCATACCCCGCATCATCGAAATCACAACTTTTTATGAAGTAATTATTCATTGCCGTTGCCACCTCTCGGTTACCAAGGCCACTAGAGTTTTCGAAAACCCTAGGAATGTGGCTTTGTTTTATTTGACCAGAAAGATTTCTAACCTCGCTCCAAATTTTGCTAGGATTATCACTTATTCTACTAAATAAATTCTCATAATACCTGAATTTAGCACGCCTTATTTCACCATTTAGATGGTTTCTGTATTTTTTGAACTCGCTGAGTAATTTGATATCTCGTGTCCTTTATAAACGCATGGTACATGTTGTTCTTCTTTGTAATTTTTTTAAATAGCGCATTACTTATCCAAGGTTTTCTAATTTCTGGCGTTTTGCGTTCTTCACAGACACCGGGAAAGCTTCATCATAACATTTCATGAGTTTATTAATGAATAGCTTGTATGCCAAGTTAGCATCCCTTTCTTGTAACACGTGGTTCCAGTCTGTTGCAATAACACGATACCGGAAGATTCCAAGCATGTCAGCGTTGATCTGACGAGACCGTACTTTTTTATTGCTTTTGCAAGTACCATTGGAAGAAGGAATGGTGCAAAAGATCGGTAGATGATCGCTTATATCTACTGCCAGCGATCCAGCAACGCAATTGAACGCACCCTTCTCCATGTTACAAAACATACTAATCTTACTGGATTAAGGTTTGGAGAAAACCACTCTCTCAGGCCATTACTAATATTTACGAAATCACTAGCCCACTCCCAATAACCTCTGGCGTGCTACAAAAGTCCGTCTTTGGGCCCCAATTTTCTTAATTTATATGATTGATTCACCTTATGGTGAAACAGCAAACATCAAATTTTTTGCAGACTGGAACATTTGTGGAACCACAGATAAGCTTTTCTACTCATCCAAACCCCGTATTGCACTTGTGCAGCCAATGGCTAATGGAACTAATACTAGCAAATCCAAATCGGCCACCTACTCTCCATGTTGAAATGTCCTTTCTTTTTTGTACAATATTTCTGATATTTGCGTCGGGGCCATTCATTCTTTAAAAACTTGGTAGAGACCATAAACAGAGACCATTCACTCATATTAACAGCAATGTAGCGTCTGCCAATAAAAAGGACCCCAGGCTTCATGAACTTGAATTTTCGTGATGCTACCAAGCACGCGAGTAAACTCGTCTGAATAAACCGCTCGTTCGATCAAAGCTCCAATGCGTACCCACCATGCGATGCCCACATCATTCCTACCTTATTTCTGCCCTGAAAGCAGTCCAAGACCGTGGATCAAGGTCTACCCATGCCATCTATCATTACTCAGTTAGCCAATTTTTATTGAAAGTAGACTCCCAATCATCTAAAGTTTGTCTTCAGTGTCGCGTTTCCGCGCTGTATTTATTCCACAAATTTTTCTTAGAATGGCCTCGGCGGTCCACGTTACATCGTTCCCGTTAGCCGCGCACATTATCCTGGTATGCATAAAGAAATGTCACACCCACGTGGTCGCACCGTCACACTTTATTCGTCTATTTTTACGAGTAGAATCAGATCGAATTGGTCTTCACTGCACTGCAGACATGTCAATATTCGCAACCTTCTTGGACAACAAATTTCTGTTCTTAATCACGGCGCCTGGCTCTATTGTAAACCCAACTTTTATGTAACACGCATTTGAGGGGTATTTCATGATATAAAGTGGCTTGATATCAAGGACAATAGAAGATAAAGTGTAATTTTGTTTATTCACCTAAGTTCACTATGGCCCACTTCATTGTGTTCAAGTTAACTAATACATAAAAGTAAAACGGGAACAACTGTGCAGGGACCTCGATGCTAAAGAAACCATGCTGGCAATACTCACATCGCTGTGTCTGCTGACTTTTGTAGTCCTTGTGGTCTCCTTCGTGATTACTTCCAGCAGTCCTGGTGAGTACTCGCTCCTCAATTTGAATATTTAAGGGTAAAGCAAACTAGTGAAAGTAAAGAAACATTTATTAGCTGTGCAACTCAGGTAAGTGAATTTGAATCATGGATATTGAATCGGTACAATGAAAAGCATGCCCGAACATTTTGAATACACAAAAGGTAGTTTACCACTATTCCTTCAGATATCTATGACAGCTGCCTCACAGTTGTGTTACTTATAGAAGAGATGTCTGATGAAAAACTCCTCTTTAATTACGGACGACGCTTTGAGCCATGGAAGGCCAATAGAACGATGTAGTTTCAAGGGACAAGAACAGAAGCGAGTTTGTGGGAATGGGTACAGTAGCACGAAACCAAGGTAAGTTCTGATAATAAAAAAAACAGCCTGGATTGCAAGACGAGGAAAGATTGTGATGTAGAGGTTTAAGCCCATTGACAGTGATATCAAGGAGTTTACGAGGATAACATAGCCGGAGCAAGCACAGAATAGGGTTTTACAAAACATCCTTGGTAGCGTTACATGCCATTGAGTTAACTTGATTTCAAGCAGTCATTATTGCAGTCAATCTCAGTCTGCACGTACAACTGTTTCTTCAAGACCTGTTCTAGTAACCGGATATATATGTGTATTTTAAGAAATGTTTAGTTGTTTGCGTGCGATGTGTTCAGGTTTCTTCGTTTCGTGCTTCGTTCTCTCGCTTACCGCCAAACTCGCCCGGCAGTCTGTGCTTCTTAAGAAAAACACGGGAGAAGCCATTCGTCTCTAGTGTGTGAAATCCAGCACATTCTTAGAGTAACAATATCACATGTAGATTAGCGCCCAATGCAACGCTAAATCGTTTGAGATTAGGACAGTGCAATTCACGATCATCTTATTCATCACTTCGGTCTTTAGTGAGAAAAAATAACATATTGTTTGTATGTATATATATATATATATATATATATATATATATATATATATATATATATATATATATATACCAAAAACAAAGTGATGGTGGGCCCGGGAAATATTATTCGTATAGGAAAGAAGACGCACGTACGAAGTTATTTTATTGACATTTCGGCCGTGGGTCCGGCCTTCATCAGAATACAGTTTATGGCACGAGTGCTGTTTATTTAAATGTGCATATCAGTAAGATACAAACGTCAAAACCGACACGAAAGGCTATATATGGGCATATATATATATATATATATATATATATATATATATATATATATATATATATATATATATATATATATATATATATATATATATATATATATATATATATACATATATATATATATGCAAGTCACACAATATAAAGAGCACCTAATCTACGAGTAAAAAGATATTGCTTCCATGCGCGAGCACGTTGTTTACAAATAAAAGATGAAACGCATAAAAGATAAAGCACATAACATGAAGAGTAGTCAGACCGGTAAAAACAAGAGAAGAAAAAACTATAAAATACTAATAAAAATGACAAAGACATTACAAAGCTTCTACGTAATCAACGGATACAGACAATGTAGTGCGACTTGCTGAGCGAGGTTGAAAAAAGTTGGACAGGGTGATACAAGTTACGCAGATAGGCAACTAAGTTTTCCTACGTTTTCATTCAGACCAGATGCGACGGCGTTGAACTTATAGATGAGGAATGATTCACGGGCTTCTCTATCATAATTTGTGCGGAAACCTGATTCTAGTAATGTGACTTGTAGGTTTTCAAAAGAGTGGCCAGGGAGGTGCACGTGTCTTGAAATGGGCAAGTGGGGCAAGGTGTTAGCATGAGATTTATGGTTGTTAAAACGCAGTCTAAAAGGCCCTTCTGTTTGACCAATGTACTGTATTTCACATAGCGCACATTCTATCATGTATATCACGTTCTTAGAATCGCAGTCAAGATTGCCTTTGATTTTTAAAGAAAAGTTGGAACCAGTACTGGTGACCTGTTGGCATGTGCGCATGTAAGGGCATACTTTGCATCGCGGTTTTTGGCAAGGGTGGCACCCGATCGTGTCAGGACTGTTTGCTTTCGATGATGATGACGATGAGAGTATGTCTCGAATAGTTTTAGCTTTGCGATACACTGCTTTAGGTGGTTCGGTGAAAATGTTTCTTAAGCGTTCACTTTGCATTAGAATATTGTGGTGCTTTCTCAGCACATTCGAAACACGCGGAACTGACGCAGAATGGGTAAGGACTAAGTTTGTCTGCGGTGAGGGAGTCGAGTTTTTAGCAGCGCACAACAGCGTTCTACGATTATGCATGTCGGCACGTTTTATTGCGTCATCATTAATTGCGGCGGATATTTTTGTTTGACTAGAGCATCCTTTAGTGTTCTGCAATTTTTTGAAACTCTGATTGCTCTGAGCAGATTCTTTTAAAGCCTAAGGCCTGACTGTAAGGGATGCTAGTTTTGCAATGTTTCACGTGGCTACTGTCAAAGTGCAAATACTGTTGCCGGTCTGTAGGCTTCCTGTACAGAGCAGTGGATAGCTTATCATTTACAATCGAAATGCTTACATCAAGAAAACTAAGAGTTGATGTGGAATAGGTATGAGAAAATGATATTGATGGATGGGCATCATTAAAGTCAGATATGAAGGAAAGCAACTCCTGTTCACTATGCGGCCAAATAAGGAAAATGTCATCAATGTAACGTTTATAATAAAAAGGTTTCAGCGCGCGGGTTTGCAAAAATTCACTTTCAAGCTGGCCCATGAATATATTGGCGTAGTTGGGTCCAATACGCGTACCCATTGACGTGCCGCTAACTTGAACATAGTGTTGCCCTTCAAATTGAAAGTTATTTAGCTCTAAAATGAGCCTGAGCAATACTGCTAATGTGTTGCTGTCAATAAATTTACCCGGTGATGCCGCTTCATAGGACCTGGCGACTGCCGCTATTCCGTCTACATGCGGAATGTTGGTGTATAAACACGCTACGTATCTTACATTTTGTATCTTACTGATATGCACATTTATATAAACAGCACTCGTGCCATAAACTGTATTCTGATGAAGGCCGGACCCACGGCCGAAACGTCAATAAAATAACTTCGTACGTGCGTCTTCTTTCCTATACGAATAATATTTCCCGGACCCAGCATCACTTTTGTTTTTGGTATACTGAAACAATGGCTCCGGAGCAGACCACGTCGAAGCACATTTACTGGAGGTACCCAAAGAATGTACCATCTATGACTGTCGTAGGAGACTCTCAGACGAAGCACATTCATCAGTACTTCGATCCAGCGCTGGCTGATACTCCAGCATTTGTGTCCCAGTGTCGTGCCTTAATCACTGACGTGCCAGCTCTATTAGATTTCGTGCCTCGGAACACCACTAGAATCGCCCTACACGTAGGTACCAACGACCTACTTCGAGTCTCAGCACAGAAAGCTTTCGACAGCTACTGTAAGGTTATCAACCATATTGCCAAGGAACGACCCGAAGTCACCTTGATCTACGCCACCCTCATCCTACCAAGGATTAGAAACCGCCGACGATGGCACCCCAGTGAAACTTTAGTGCGTTGCTTCAACCGTGAAGTGTGTTATTTCAACGCTCTGCTAAAGAATTTGTGTCGCCGCTCTCGACTGGTATCTTTCCTTGATCACGGCTTCGAATGGTTGCCTTCGCACCGCGTACTGGCCGCTGATGGCTTGCATCCTAATTTTGAAGGGGTTTCGCTCATGGCGAGCCATATTCGGCACATTTGTTACAAGCCATCCAGCGCTAGGTCCCACTCCTGGTTGGACAGTGTGCCCACCGATCCCCCTCAGCATCACGCAAGGAGGCCTACCGTTGTGCGCGAGTCGTCTGACACAGCACTGGTGACTGGCCAAACAAGAAGTTGTGCTTCCCCTCAGAAGCCACCATCGCCCCACGAGCGAGTGACGCAGGACTATCGCAACAAGGTTTCTTCCAAAAGTTGCCCGACAGACTCCGCTACGAGAGGTTCGTCGATTGGACCTTCGCATTCAGCAAAGGACCCTCCAGATCCCTCAGCCAGTGGTCACCGCTACAAGCTTCGCAGCCATACCCAAACCGTGCGACAGGGACCTGCTGATTGACTACAGACGTTGTCACCCGGTAAAAACACTTCTTGCCTCTGTTCAAAAGAATTTTTAAGGTTACGGAAAGTTGTAGAAAAACGTGTTCGCAACGACCTACATGTAGATACTTTGAACACCTGCTTAACCGCGTCTGTTGCACCAAAGGGTCTACGTATCATTGTGAAACCAGCCCTATCTAACATGTCTCAGCAAAATATAGATATGTGGGACGACATATTAAGAAATGCTTCACTACAACTCACCCGAGTTACCCTTGATCATTATCGTTCTTCAAGCAAAAATATCTTGCACCAACAAAATCAAATGTCAGCAAATTTAAGCCTCTCGTCTAATGAATCCGCCGCACTGGAGGCATTCGCATATAAAAAGCATCGTGAAATTCACGCATTGAAAGTCAAGAAAATGTCGCGTAACGGTGTTTGGTGCCCTAGCCAGAACAATGCATGCAATTACGTCCCTTTGCTAACGAATCCGGTACAAGCTTACCCCGATACTTCTTTGTCACCTTCCATTAACAAACATATCGTCAAGGAGCAGAACAATATAGTAAATATTTCGGACATTGTACTAACTGCTGAGGAGCGCAGTGTTCTGTGCCGCGGTCTTAATTTCTGTCCTGCCACAGGCGGACACAGTGAATTTCAATTACTGAAAGACTTGGATAATTTTGCCCGCAACTTACGCTTGCGCGAGTTTTTTCATGACCGGCAAAATACAAATAGTTCCACCAACGCATTACCTTCTGGAAAACGTTGGGTACCTCCCTCACAACGAGACAGATGCTTAGATATGTATATCAAAGCTGTACAACGAGACGTACTACAGTCGCATCGAAAGCAAACGCCGTTTCGCCGTAACCTAAGCACCAGTGAAATGAAAGCATTAAATGCCTTGTCCTGTCGCAATGACATCGTCATCAAGCC